CGCGGGGGGCCGAGCGCAGGCTCAGGTCGGAGCGCGCCGGTGTGGTGCGGGAGCTGTGCGCGCAGCCCGGCCAGGTGGTGGCCCCCGGGTGAGTGGACGTCGCGCGCGGGTCCGGGGAGGGCGGGGTCCGGTTGCCGGGCTCTCAGAGGGAGCTGGATAGTCACCACGTGTGATCTCTGAGCCTTTAAGGAGTACTTGCAGCAACCTGAAGTTGCTCCTTGGAAAATTCTGTTCGTTCCTTTTGTAATGTTTTTTCACGTTTGTAGACTGAGAAAATGCAAGGTGACAGCGAGTGCGGGATGAATTAGGCACGTCCTCTGGACTTGTAATAGAAATATAACCTGTTGGGGTGTGTGCATTTTTTTAAGCTCTTGTAAATTTTGTGAAACTCAGTTGTAAAAACTTGTTGTAACTCTGCATCGTAGCTAAAGAAGGGAGAACCAAACTCAGCCCTGCACCAGGGTGTGGACAGCCTCCCACGCGACTTCCCACTGTGGCCCATTAGTTGACAACAGCAGGAGTCATCACAAGCTAGTTCAAGGTGACAGAGTAGTTAATTGTCACAGGACAGATTCTGCAGCTGTTAATGAACTCGTACGTTGGAATTTTTCCCTTTTACGAAACGTTTGCATGTGTAAATCTACATTTTATGTCAGAATTTATTAGTGTTGTTTTCTGAGATTCAAAATCATGGTGCTAAAAGTAGTTTGGGGTTGATGTGTGTGCACACATGGATATGTACACGTGCTTATTTGGCTGTTTTGATTGTAAGGAGCAGTGTAAAAATGGCATGGTGGGGGTGTCTGACCTCCTCTAATTTCACGAGGGGGAGAATCAGCATCAGCCCAAAGCTGATTTCTAGGAAGTGGAGATCAGACATGCCTTCTTTCTCCAACCTTATTACCAGTCCTAACACTGCTGTCCTTCCCACGGCACTCTGCACTTCTCTGCTAGGTTTGATAATTGATTGCAGTGGTTGCACAGAACTCACAGACGATACTGTACAACTATGGGGTTAATAGGGAAGTAACAGATTACAATTCGGGATCAGGAACCACTGAGGATACAGTTTTTCATTCAGGACAGCTTCTCAGCCGTGCCCACAGGAAGGCTTCTCCCTGGCCCTTGGCTCCTCAGGCCTCAAGCTGGCCTGGCCTCTGCCCTGCTCGGGCAAGTGTTAGCTCTACCAATAAATGCCCAGAGGCACCCCACCCCGCCAGTAAGCCTCGACCTGAAGGCACTCGGCTCTCTAGCTCAGCGGGTCAGCAAGCCTCCTGCTCGAAGGTGCTCAGCTTTCTCAGTCTGTAGGCCAGGAAGCCCACTGCACCATCTCCTGCTGATCTGGTTCTGCTGCCAGTTCTCTGCTGCATTTGCCACCACTTCTTGCTGTCTTGCGCTGTCTTCAGTGTTACAGTTCTTTATCTCCTGGGTCTAGGGAACTCCAAGTCCAAAGGATGCACTCAGCTCCTGGCTCTTCTTTCTTGATGGTAGAGAGGTACCCCCTTTCTGCCGCTGAGATGGCTCATTTTAAGCCTAACGGGATGGCAAAATTAATCAATTCCCTCATTAGGTTTCTATACACCTTATTTGCATGGTCCCACCCCCACAAGGGTACCATGCACATTATTTGTATTTTAAGCAGGCTGTCCAGTTCTCTTGGTGGGCCACAAGCACCTTATTTGCTTATTACCACCCAATCTTTTGGTGGGAGTTAGAAGACCATAGCTACAAAAGCTGCATAAAAGTGATCAGTTGCACCACAAACAGAAACTTAGAGTTTTTGAAGAGGGAAGGTTGAGCATCGTGCCTGAGGACATGGGCCTGCCTGAGGTGGGTTGGCTGTGAGAGCTGCTTTCCTCCAGAGGACCAGCACCAAGGTATCTCATTTGGCTGCCTGTCTGCTTGAGTAGCTTCTTCTGCCAGCTCCTCACTGGTTCCCTGCCCTGCTTATTCTTGCTTTGTCTAGGTCACTTTAGCTTCCTTGTGGTCTCCGCTGCTGTCTACCTCTGGCTCACAGTCCACTTAATGTCCATTTTTTGAGTGGCTGTTCTGTGGCAGGTTGTGCACGTATGCTGATGAATACCACACAGCTCTGGAGCCTCACTCTGTAGCATATACTTCTACTCCTCATGTTACCTCTCAGTCTCTGTGTTTACTGGGTCCAGTTCCCCAGAGAAATAATTTGGCCCAGTTCATCATTTGCAGATGGGGCATTGGCCAGGCTCTGAGTTTTCACCTTTGGCTTAGGGGCCCACTGAATGCTGAGGGGTGGGGATGAGAGATCATGGGTAGAAGACTTGGCTGCTTCAGAGCTCTGCATAGCTTCCTGTAGAAGGAGTTGTGGGTTTGATAGGCACCATGATTATACCTGTAACATAACTATTTATGTCACAAAAAAGTATATTGTAAGTTATTACCTTGAAATCAAATCTTACTGTACCACTGCTTGGACCATAAATAGCAAGTTTAGCCTACTATCATTCCATAAATTAACAGATAAAATTCTGATGCCAGTGTGTTGCCTGTGTAGAAAACACGGAATGTGAGAGATCTTGGTTTTTTTAATTTGTTCAGAAAGGGTAGCTGAGGCCCTAAAAGGGTAAGTGACTTCGTCATAGAGCCAAACTCCTTGTTCAGTGCTTTTGATCAAATTAATCTAGTTCATCAGATTAACCCAGTACATTAATTCAACCAATCAGGCATTTAATTAATTTGATGTTAAGTTCCAAGCAGCGGGTAGTTTTTGTGTTGTTGATTTTTTTTTTTTTGGTGTTTGAAGTTTCAGGATGTCTTATAGTAATGGTTCATCCTGGAACTCTTTGAGAAACTGGTGAAAGTTGTATCATCTCTGCTTAGATACAAGTGACACCAAAGGCAGTCATACAACTTCAGGATTCATTGATCCCTGTGCCACCTATCCATGGACCACGGAGATGGATTTAGACAAAGCCTCTCACAGTATTTCCTTGAATTAATTTTAAAATGCCCCCACCCAAGTCCTGGTACTTATGCATATTTATGTACAGGTATTTTTGTGAGCATTCCAAGGAGTGCTGCAGTGATGTAACATAGAGGTCATTTCCTGGATGTCTCTGTGTGTGAGTGTGTACACAACGGCACAGATGGGATGTCGAGATCGTTTTTAGTACATCCACATAAACATATCCACAAAAGCAAGGCCCGAGGAATTGACAGAATACAAATTGAGATGCTTCAACAAATAGATGCAATGCTGGAAGCAGTTATTAGTCTATGTCAAGAAATTTGAAAGACAGCTACCTGCCTGACTGACTGGAAAAGATCCATATTCATGCCCATTCCAAAGAAAGGTGATCAGATGGAATGTGGAAATTATCTAACAATATTAGTAATTTCACATGCTAGCAAAATTTTACTGAGTATAATCTGAAAGTGACTGCAGCCATACATTGACAGGGAACTGCCAAAAGTTCAAGCCAGATTCAGAAGAGGATGTGGAAGGAGGGATATCATTGCTGGTGTCAGATGGATCTTGCCCAAAAGCCGAGAATACCAGAAAGATGTTTGCCTGTGTTTTTATTGGTTATGCGAGGCATTTCGCTGTGCAGATCATAATAAGTTTTGGGTAACATTTCAAAGAATGGGAATGCCAGAACATTTAGTTGTGCTCTTGTGGAAGAACCTATGCATGGATCAAGAGACTGCTGTTCAAACAAATAAAGGTATGCTGTGTGATTCAGAATACGGAAAAGCTGTGCGAGAGGGTTTTATCCTTTTACCTTACTTGTTCGATCTGCATGCTGAACAAATACTTTAAGAAGCCAGGCTGCATGAAGAAAACAGCAGCATCAGGATTGGAGGAAGACTCATTAATGATCTGCAATATGCAAATGATACAACCTTGCTTGCTGAAAATGAAGATGACTTGAAGCACTACTGATGAGGGTCAAAAACAACAACTTTCAGTATGGGTTATACCTGAACGTCAAGAAAATGAAAATCCTCACAACTGGACCAATAAACAACATCAAGATAAATGAGGAAGAAATTTAAGTTGTCAGTGATTTCATTCTACTTGGATATGGAAGCAGCAGTCAAGAAGTCAGATGATGCATTGCATTGGGCAAATCTGCTGTAAAAGACCTCTTTAAAGTCTTAAGAAGCAAAGATATCACTTTGATGACTAAGGTGCACCTGACAAAAGCCATGGTCTTTTCAATCTGATACGCGTATGAAAGCTGGACAGCAGTAAAGGAAGACAGAAGAATCGATGCATTAGAATTGTGGTGTTGGGGAAGAATATTGAATATACCATGGACTCCCAGAAAAACAAACAAATCAGTTGTAGAAGAAATACAACCAGAAGCAAGGATGGTGAGACTTCTGCTCACTTATTTTGGGTACATCATCAGGAAAGACAAATAGTTAGAAAAGGGCATTATATTTGGTGAAGTGGAGGGTTGACAAAAATGAGGGAAACCCTCCATGAAATGAATTGACACGATAGCCAAATCAGTAACCTCAAACATACCAACAATCATGGAGATGGCACAGGACTGGGCAGCGTTTCATTCTGTTATACATGAAGTATGAGTTGGAGCTGATTTGATGGCCAACCAGCAACAACGTAGGGACCCTAAGACATGATACTTTCACTTTAAAACTTTTTTCTCTGTTTTTTCTTTCACTGCTAGTTTGTCTACTGATGGTTGGTGTGACCATTCCCAGAAGCAGCCCCACAGTTTGGACTGGCAGTGCCACACCTGGTAAAGGCTGGAAAACCAGGACATGGAACTCTAGTGGAAGTGTACCAAAACCATCAATATTTTTTCTAGATATTCCCAGACGTGTGACTGTTTTACTAAGCAAGTCCACACAATCACATGTAAAGCTATTTTATAACTGATTTATCTTGACAATCTCCAGAAAGTCTTGCTGCTTGAAGTTACATGTTTTTTGGGATCTTTTTATGGGAGAATGGACATTTGGTTAATATTTGCTTTAAATGTTTCTAGACTAAGATGACTGCCATCATGATTTATTGAGTATAAATCCTTAGAATACCTCCTGTCACATTTTTAAAATGACATAGAACTAGTACAGACAAGT